GGGCTTGTTCAGAGCCTCTTGGAGCTCATGAGGACTGGAGCTTGGACGCTGCTTCACACTCTGGGGACCCAGCAGCCCAGGGAGGCTACAGGGAGGCCCAGGTCCTGCCCTCCAGGGGCTCTGAGGCCTGGGAAAGGGGCTCCAGGCAGCAGGGAAGTCCATGGGCCCAGAAGGGAGGTGGTGGGCTGGAGAGGTGTGGAGGGTGGATGTGAGGGCACAGAGGTTGTGCATCACTGGAGGGCTTTTCCGTAAGCTCCATTGTCATTGTCACTGGCCTTCCCTTCCCCTGGCCTCTGGCCCTGGGAAGTCCCTGAGGGTCAGAGTTGCACAGATGAGCCCCTAGGCCCCCAGGATGGACCAGACCCCGGGGCATGGAAGGGAGAGGCAGCAGGGAGTCCCCAGGCCCCAGGAGACCTGGCTTCGTGCGGGTGACACAGCCTATTTGCTGCGCAGTCCTGGGTCATAATCACCCTTTTATGCTCCCTGCTCCGCGTGGGTACACAGGGCTGGCTCCAAGATCTCGTGACTTGCTCCCTGGCGCCTGGCTGGAATGGGAGCCCACCCGCCCCCTGCAAGTGAGGCCTGGGAGTCCCCAGAGGCCATCCAGCAGGCTGCATGGGGCCCAGAGAGGGTCATCCACTTTCCTGAGATCACACAGTGGTCAAGGAAGGACATAGTTGTGGGTTAAATGTGGGCCCTGGAACCAAGTCCCCACTCCTCCTTGAGCCTCAGTTTCTTCATCTGTGCAAGACAGGCACCCACGTCTGGCTGGTGGCTGGGAGCAGATGGTGGACAGCTCAGTGCCTGGCACAGGGGTGGGCAGGGACCTGCCCTGGGCCCTGGGTTCCAGGATCGGAGGCTACTCCCTTCCCTCCTCCCTATCCCCAGCCCAGCCTCATTTACCACCCGGGTTGTTTCCTGTGACTCCCAAGGGTGGCTGTTCCCTTAATGGCCATGCCATCCCCCAAGAACTTGGGGGTTGCTGCATTATGTGGTCCCAACGCACCTCCATCAGTTTCCCCTTCTCAGCAGTGGTGGGGCTGGTGGCCCAGGCTGCTTTTCGGCAAGAGGGCCAGGGAGGAGGCTTGGCCTAGGGCCAACCTGGCCACGTCCCTCCCTGCTCAGGGCAGCCTAGGGCTCCTTGCCCTATGAGCTCAGTGCATATCCACCGTTCTGCCCTAATCTTTCCCCATCTCCCTCCTAGGACCCCTAGGTACTGCTTCTTGTCTTTCCTCATGCTGTTTCTTCTGTGGAGATGCCCCTCCTCCCCAATTCTCAGCCAGTAATAATGTTAACATGAAATCTGGAGGCAGAGACGTCCAGGCACAGGGCACAGCAGGTGCAAAGGCCCTGGGGCAGGACTGTGTCTGGTCTGTTGGAGGGACAGCCAGGAGATCCCTGTGGCTGGAGCAGAATGAGCAAGGGGGGGAGAGGGAGGAGGTGGGGCCAGGGAGGGGATGGAGACAGGCAGTGCAGGGTCTCGTGGACGGTGTGGGGGACTTGGGCTTTTACCCCCAAAGGAGGAGGGATGGGACCTGGCTCAGGTACTCACAGGGGCCCTCTGGCTTTGAGGGGAGGACAGACTGGGAGGGGCTTAGCAGGAGATGACTGCATGGGTCAAGGTGAGCAATGGTGGCACCTGACCAGTTAAGGGCAGAAGAGGTAATAATTGGACAGATTTGAGATAAATTTTGAAGGCAGAGATGGAAGGATTTACTTACGTTGTCCCCCAACCACCTGCAGAAGACCTCACACCGGGTCTTGCAGGAAGCCAGAGAAGACGAGGGGATGACGGGCTTGGCAGGGCCCACCCTGCGAAGTCCCCCCAGGGAGGGTGAGGGCCTAAGGGACCCTGGAACTTTTTAACCATTTATATTCTGTCTGAACCTCTCCTCCCTGAGTCTGTCTCTTACCTCCCACCCCATTCCTGCTCTGTCATCCAGGCCTTGAAGCCCCCAGGGCTGTGTCTTCCCCCACCCAGCAGGCTGGATGGTGTTTTCTGGGGAGTCAGAGCTCGTGGTCGGGCCCCGCTTGCGCCTGGATCGGACCCGTTCTGTCCAGACATTGAGAAGGCGTGGGCCCAGCGAGCTCCGGCTGCGGGAGCCAGGGGGATAATTAGGGGCCTCTCTGTTTAGAAGGCTGCGGCCCTGGCTCTCATGGTGCGGGGGGAGCAGGGGCGGTATCGTGGCCAGGGCCCTTTGTGCAGGTGACCCCTGCCCATGCCAGCTGGTATTGTAGGTGAGGAGACTGCGGCTGGAGCAGGAAGGTTCCCCCCCATCCTGGGAGGCCCTGGCCGCCCTGGTTTGAGCGCCTCTGCATTGCGCTGCTGCCTCGGTTTCCCCAGAGGCTCTCTGAGGGGCTGGCCCGCTGATCCAAGTGGTCTGTGCCAAAGCCCCCCTCCCCAGGTGTGGTCAAGCTGATGTGCCTCTGTGGGCAGGGCTGGCTGCTGGGGTCACTCTGCCCTCAGCTGGCCCTGGGCTGTTTCCCCAGCTAGGGCCTTCCCCTTCCCCGTCGGCCACTTTTTTGCTCTTAAAGGGCCCTTAGTGGGGGCACAGGGAAAGGGGCTGGCTCGAGGCTTCAGAGGCCCCATCTGTGTGTCCCCGACCAGTTGTGCCCCAGTGCGCATCTGTGGTCTGACTGTGCGCGTGCCCGTCTGGGCCCATCCACGTGGACGAGGGGGACCTGACTTTGCGTGTCTGTGTGTGTCGTCTGATTGGGCGCGAGTGTGGTCTGCTGACTGCGTAGCCTGTCTCCGTGGCCCCGCTGCGTGCACGCAGCGGAGTCTGTGGGCTGCGTTTTTACCGGCTGTGCCCCGGGGAGCTCTGATCTGCCTCCATATTCATGTTTGCCTGCACCCCAACCGTGAATGTGTATTGCCTGCCTGACCGTGGCCCTGTGTGTGTCTCATCTGGCTGTGTGGCTGTGGTCTTCATGTCTACCAGTGTGTGTCTGATCTGACTGCGCTTGTGGTCTGGCTGGGTGCATGTATCATCTGCCCCATTGTGACCCTGTGTCTGTCCGATTTTGCACCTGTCCTCATTCATGGTCTGTGTGTAAGTTTTATTGGCCTAACTATGCGTGTGGACCCATCTGTGTTACCTGACTGTACAAATGTATCTTTTCCTGTGTCTGGTCTCCCTGTCTGTCTGTGGTCTGACTGTGTCTGGGTCTGTCTGTGGCCTGACTATGTGCAAGCATCCTTCTCTGTCTTGTCTGTCTACAGTCTGACTGTGTGTCTGTTGAGCACCCCTGTCCCCACCCTCCTCATCTCGGCTCCCCCCTCCCCCGACTCCACCCTGGGCCATGACCCTGCCACCA